AAAAAAATTAGCTGGGTGTGGTAGCGCGCACCTGTAGTTCCAGCTACTTGGAAGGCTGAGTCGGAAGGATCGCCGGAGCCCAGCAGGTTGAGGCTGCAGTGGCCGGGAGCGGCCGCTGCAATTCAGTCTGGGTGACAGAGTGAGACTCCAACTCAAAAAAAAAGCTCCCCAGGGATCCTGATGCCCATTCAGGGTTGGGACTCTACAGAACCTTGCTTCTGACAAACGGGAAGATTTAATCCAGCTTATGTATGGCCTGGAATATCGGGAGGAAGACTGGACATCACCTTATAGGTCATGGAGATTTGGGTTATGGAAGATATATTATATGGTGAAACGGTATTTCATAATAGTCTCTGTAGTGTGAAGGCTGATTGGGCCATGACTGGAAACAAGGAGATAAGGGATAAGGCTGGGATGAGAAAGATGGCTGGAGTCTCTCTAAGTTTAAACCAGATGTTAGCTGAGCTCAGTGGCTCAGCCTGTAATCCTGCACCTTGGGAGGCTGAGGTGAGTGGATTGCCTGAGCCCGCGGGTTTGAGACCCGCCTGGGCAACTTGGTGAGACCTCATCTCTACGATAAATCAAAAAAATCAGCCGGGTGTGGTAGCGCATGCCTGTAATTCCGGCTACTTGGAAGGCTGAGGCGGAAGGATCGCTGGAGCCCAGCAGGTCGAGGCTGCGGTGGCTAGGAGCAGCCACGGCACTCCAGTCTGGGCGACGGAGTGAGATTCCAACTCACAAAAAAAGTAAAGTAAAATAAAATAAATAAACCAGATGTTTTCCTCCAGAATCCATCCCAATAATCAATTGCAGTCATGTACCACAATAACAAGGTCAATGATGAACCAAACTCAGGATGGTGATCCCAGAGAATTACAATACCATGCTTTTACTGTATCTTTTCTATGTTTAAATATGCACGTATCACTTTCACAGTTGCCTATAGCATTCAGTGCCATAACATTCTCTGCCGCTTTCTGGCTAGGAACAATAAGCTATACCAGATAGCCTAGGTGTGCAGTGGGTTCTATCATCCAGGGCCACAGTCCTTAGTGTTTTTGGTTTCAGGGACTGGTTTCATGGAAGACAATTTTTCTTTTCTTTTCTCTTTTTTTTGAGTTGGAGTCTCATTCTGTCGCCCAGGCTGGAGTGCAGTGGCACACTCATGGCCACCGCAGCCTTGACCTGATGGGCTCAGGTGATCCTTCCCCCTCAGCCTTCCAAGTAACTGGAACTACAGGCATGTGCCACCATGCCTGGCTAATTTTTTGATTTATTGTAGAAGTGAGGTCTCTCCAAGTTTCCCAGGCTGGTCTTGAACCATGGGCTCAGGCAATTCTCTCACCTCAGCCTCCCAAAGTGCTGGGATTTATAGGTGTGAGCCTATAAATCTGTATCTGGCACTTGCAGTTTTGAGTGCAGGTCTCTAATATACAAGCCCCCATATTTAAATGATGTCTCAAATATATTTCACAAGAAAGAAGCTCATGCTTTAGGGTCTCTGACTATACCTGTGTATGCCACTCCTTCGGCGAGTGTGGCTGTGGAGGAAGGAACTGCCACTACTTTTAAAATTTTAGAGTTTATTTGGTCCTATCCCTCATGTTACAGATGAGGAAAACAGGCACAGAGAGGGGACTTGTCCAAGGTCACAAGGGGTCCAAATGATTAACTGAGACTGGCCTCCTGGTTGTCCATTTTGCGGAACAAAAGCCATTTCCTTTGCAGCATCCTCAAATGTTTTCTAAGGTCTCTATCTTTTTGGCCTTGAAAATTCAGTCTCAGGAATGCCAAATTAATGCCTTTCTTAAGGCTCATTGCCCAATATAGCAAAATTGTAAGAAACGATCTCCCTCTGCTGGTAACACTGTATAACTACAAAGCCTAAAGTACAAGGTGTTCCTTGCATTTAGGTAAAACAAACTACATGTTAAGCTCACGACTAAGGTTGGTGTGTGATAGTTTCAAGCACCTGCTGCTGCCAAGACTCAGTCAGGATAATTCACTTCAAAGAATGGGTTCTCAGGAGAATGTATTCTAAGTAAATATAGTCCCAGAGAGCGAACAGGCCAAAATCTTTATCCCAGAACCTGGTGAGGTGGTTAACAGAACTAGCTGAGTTTTAGACATAGAGAATTTGAGCTGCTACTGGAAT